AATTCCTCTTTTAAAAATGTGTATATCTCTCTTTATTGAATATTCTTTTTCAAGCTCCTCTAATTCTTTTCCTAGATTCCTTTTCCTTTCTTGCCTTTTTTTTGAGATTAATTGTCTCTTTTATGCATAACCCTCTCACAACCGCTTTCATTGTGTCCCATAGCACTCCTTTTGATACTTTCATTAAATCCCCAAATTTCTTGCCATTTTGATTTCACTCTATCCACAATCTCTCTATTGTTCAAAATTTTTGTATTCAATCTCCACCTCCTCATTTTATCATAATCACATTTCAAGACAATCTCAATTGACACCAGGGCATGATCTGAAATCTTGATAATTCCAATATCAGCATTTAACAATTTACTTAACATGTTTTTAGAAACAAAAATATAATCTATTCTTGTTTAAACTTTATGTACAGCCGAGTAGTATGTATATTTTTTCCTCTCCCTTTACCATTATATCCTCCAATTCTCCTTTTTTCTCTGGTGTTCTTCCTTTCACCGTTCTCCTCCTCATCCTTTCCGTCTCTGTCTTGTTTCTTTATTATGCCGAGCTCCTTCAGTAGTTGAAGTCCTTGCTCCAAAAAATCAATTCTGTACCTAGGTTCTTGTGGGGTTTTTCGGGCTACATGGCCATGTTCTGGAGGCATTTTCTCCTGACGTTTCGCCTGCATCTATGGCAAGCATCCTCAGAGGTAGTGAGGTCTGTTGGAATTAGGAAAATGGGTTTATATATATTGATATATATATAGCCCTCTATAGTATTTATGGAACTGATTTTGAATGTTGGCATCTTTTGTGTATATCTTATCGTCTTCTTTAATTTGTGTGATAAATTGTGCTTGTTTCTTTTTTCTTATCCTTCTTGATAACCATTTGCCTGGTTTGTTGGCATTTTGGAAATTATATTGTTTCATGAATTTAAGTTCCTTGGCTGTTTGTTCTGCCTCTATGTATCGTCTTTGTTTATTTAGTATTTCTAAGTCACATTTATGTTTGTTATTATTTGGGGATCTTTTGTACTCTTTCTCAATTTTTTTGATTTCCTGTTGGATGTTGCTCAGTTGCTGCTTCTTCAGTTTCTTCTTTCTAGCGTTTTGCTGTAAAAATTCCCACACATCATGGCTTTGCTTGCATCCCAAATTGTGGTCTTCTTCATTTCATGAGTGTTGTTCAGTGTGAAGTATTCTTTCAAGATGTTCTTGTTCCTATCTATCTCTTCTTCAGATCTTAGTAGGGTTTTGTTTAGTCTCCATTTCCCTAGTTTGAGTTTTTGGTTTATAAGCAATTCTAAAGGACAATGGTCTGTATCTCTTCTAGGTAGTATTTTTATTTTGTCGACCTTGGCTGTTAGTGCTTTTGTTGTCCAGATGATGTTGATCCTGGACCATGTATTATGTCTGCTTGAGTGAAACGTATAGTCCTGTTCTAAATTATGATGGATTCTCCATGTGTCTTGCAATCCAAATTCCTCCTGTATTTTGAGGAAACTATCCAGTAATCTTCCTTGGTCATTTTGTCTTTTTTTGTTCATTTTGATAGTTCGGTCTGTTTTGCTGTCCATAACGCCGTTGAAGTCTCCCAACAATATTAGATCTTGAAATTCTTGTTCTGACAATGATTCTTTTAATTTTTTTTAATAAATTTTCCTTTTGGTCTGTTTGGAGCGTAAATGGTGCAGATTAACAGTTTTTCATCTCCTCTCTCTATTGTTACATCTAGTATCCTACCTTCTGAGTCCTTAAATGCCATTTTTGCTGGTAGATTTTCATTTACGTAGATCACTACTCCTTTTTTTTCAGTCGCAGATGAGTGAAATTCCTTTCCTAGATATTTTTGTGATAGATGTGCACTGTGTTTCTATGATATATGTGTCTCTTGAAGTGCAATTATGTCGTAATTCCCTTTCCTAATTTGATCGAAGATCCTTCTCCTTTTATTGGGCGAATTTAGTCCGTTAACATTGTTGAAAAAACATTTAAGCCTCCACTCCATCTTCTAGTTCTTCTTCTACCTTCTCTTCCTTTTCCTCTTCCAGTTTGTCTAGGATTTGTTTGACTTGGTCCTTAGGTTTTTCCTATTTAATTGGTGTGGTTGGTGAATTTGTCCTAGCCCGTTTGTTTGGATTTCCTAGGTATGGGGTTGGATTCTCTTCTTTACTTTTCATCAGCATATCATAAAAATCTTTAGCTTTCTCCTCTGATGTCAGCCAATATCGTTCTCCTCTGAATGTTACCATAATACCTTCATTTTTCTCCCACCTAAATCTTATGTCTCTTTTTTTCAGTTCTTCTGTTAGGAAGAAATATTTTCTTCTTTTTGTTAGGGTTGTTGATGGTATTTCTTTCAGTATGGCTACCTTTTTTCATTTATGGTATACTGGTATTTTATTATTCTGTTTCAATATTTCATCTTGTGTAGTCTTCTTTGTGAAATGAGCTATTACGTCTCTTTCCGTTTTGTTACGTCTTGCATAGTTTGTCGAGATCCTATATACCCGGTCCATTAAATCTTCAATATGGCTTTCCTCGCATTCTATCAATTTTGCTGTGATTCGGATTATGGTTTGTCTTATGTTCTCACTTGCTTCCTCCATTACATTTCTATATCTCAGTTGAAATTCCATATAGTTCTGTTCAAATTTTTCTTGTTTCTCCACTCTGTCACTTTTTTCTGTCATCTTATCTATCCTGAGTTTTTGCTGTTCCTACACTGTTACTATCTGTTGATTTCCCTGTTTAAGTTCTTTCATTTCTTTCTGAAGGTCTGCAATGTATTTTTTCATCTCCCTTTTCAGTTTGGCCAATTCTTCTGAGATTTCTTTTTTCACCGTCTGCTGCTGTTCTTGGAGTTTATCCTGTTTTTCCATTAGCTTTTCTTGTTGTTCTTTTAGGGTATCTTTTTTTTTTGATAGTTTCTGTAGTTCTTTCATCACATCTCTCAGTGAGGGTTCTTTCGATGCGGGTTCTTCTTGTGTAGATCCTCTCCTGGGCGTTGCTACATTTAATTTTCTCTCTTCCTTTTCTCTATCTTTCTCTCTGCCTCCTTTGGATTTCAGATTTGCCATCTTTTATTTGTTTACTTGCTTGTTTACTTTATTTTTTATTTTTTATATATTGTTATTATATTATTTTATTTTTATTGTTTTATTATTATTGTTGTTGTTTTATTATTATTATTTTAATTTGTTCTCTTATGTACTGTATAATTTATGTATTATTTTATTACTGTGTTGTTATAATATTATATTATTTTATTTTATGAATTGTGTATTTATTTTTATTTTTATTTTACTTTATTGTATCTTAATATATCAATTTTCACTATATTGTTTACTTTATTATTTTTATGTATTTAATTATAGAAAGAAAATAACTTAATTTATTTATTATTTATTATTTATTACTTCTATTATTATTATTATAGTTTTTAATTATTGTTATTATTGTTATTATTTTTATTTTATTTTCTTGTTATTATTGTTATAGATTTCTTTTTTGTTTTTTGTTCTTCTATATTATTATTATTATTTATATATATTATTGTTATTTTTATGTATATATATATGTATTTGCCTTTTCCTCTGCTGTCTCACAGTATAATTTATAATTCTCTATCTATGCTATGTACTGTTTTTGTATTATTATAAATGGCAAGTGGAATAGCTAATTATTGTATAAATTGCCTATATTGTATGTGTTATGCGCTTATTATTGCCCTTGTATGATCCTTTCCCTTTTGTCAGTTTTTCTTTCCGGATTTTCCTTTGTGCCTTTCCCTTTTATGTTGTTCCTAATGTTACTTGTTTGGTAAAATCTTCTATGGAAAACTGCGTTTTTGCTTACTAGATTTCCTATTTCCTTCTTTCTTTTGACTGGGTTTTTGTGGGTTTGGTATTTAGCTGGTATGAGTCCTCTTTAGGTTAATTACGCTAGTTTATTACTTTCTGTGCCTCTACCTTGTCTTCCTTAATGCCATGGTCTTCGCCTTATTCTTAGCTTTCTCTCACACTCCTTCATCTCTCTTCTTACTTTGTCATCTCCGATTCTTCTTCCTTCTTTCCCTTCCTCCCCTCCCTTCTGCTACTGCCGGTAGCGCCTCGGCTTCTTCTTGTGACTGTTATTTCACCCTTTTATTTCCCTCTATGCTATTTGACTTCTGACGCCCCTTTGCTTTTACCTTTGTTCTTTTCTGGTCTGATATATATTTTTCCGCTTATTGTTTATTCCCTTTTGCCCTCCTTCCGCCCTTCCTTCGTTTGCCTCCTCACGTTCCTCACGTCGCGTCGCTTCACGTTGCGTCTTCTTGCGTCCTCTCGTGAGATTCTACTGTTTCTCCTTTTCTGCGTCTAAATTCCTCCTCTTCGCCACACCCCCTCCTCTACTCCTTCTCTCTTCTCTCTTCCTTCTCTCTTCTCTCTCTCTCTTCTGTTAATTGGCAATTGGAAATTTAGCCCATTCTTGGGAAATTTAGCCCAAATTAACAAAAAAATCAACTATCAATAACAGTTGTTCTGATGTGAGTTCCGGGAGGGAGGTTGGAGAGCATTCTTCATTTTGTAAGTCGAATAAAAAGAGTCAAGTACCCCTACTGATGTCAGTACTTTATGTACTTTAAATCAGTAGCCTATAAAGCAAAATGAAGCAAAACCAAAAGACCAAAAATGCTTCTGATATTTGATGTCATCATTTGACACGTATGTTACTCTTCTGGAAGCAAAATTGGTGTCTTAAAAATGATTCATAACATTTTGCTTATGATAAGGTGCAAAGTCCAACATCACCACTTCTTATTATTTTAATTTACCAAATGCAAATTTTCTAATGTTTGCATTATCAGTAATGTTTACCCAGCCTAATACAAATTGCAGATTTGCAGTGGTTGAACATTTTTCATCATTTTAAATCTTTGTTTATTATTTTAATGTAATAATTGCAGTGTATTACCAAACATTTTGTCAGATGCTTTTCATTTCAATTCTTTCTTTGATCTTAGGCAGCTGCCTATACGTCAGATGTGATTAATGTTCTTGAAAAACCTGGGCATTACACACTTTTTGCGCCTACCAATGAAGCTTTTGAAAAACTTCCACGTGGTGTCTTGGAGAGGATCATGAGTGACAAGGTGGCCTCTGAAGGTATTTCAATATGGTTTCAGTTTAGGAAGAAAAAATGATTTGTTAAATATGACTGACATCAAATTTGGCCTCCAAACTTCTCATATCGCAAGGTATGACCAACAATCATAAAAATTAAAATAAACCACCAAAAAGAACTAAAACATTCTAAAAAAGGAGAGAACAACACAGAGCATGCGCACAGGGGTGGGGAGGGTGCACGCGTGCATGAGAGCTCCTCCATTGTCTCTCTCTCACCTCGGCTAAACAGTCCTCCTCGCTCTGGCTCCTTGCTTTCCCCGCCCCCCATTTGCTTTTCCTCATCGCTGAAAGAAGCACCAGCCGACAGGGAAGGGAGGGAGGGAGGCGGGGAGAAGCCCCGCTGCTCAGAGGGAGGGAAGGAGGTAGCCCCGCAGGGGTCTGTTGTGCTACTGGCAGTGAGGGCAGAGCGGTGTTTTCATTGCTGGCAGCTCCAACAGTGCAGGAGGGAGTCAGTTTGGGGAGACATGGGCTGCACAAAATTGACCACTCCCTTGGTCCATAAAGGTGTGTGTGCATGTGCCTCATACAGATTATTATGAAGCTGAGGCTGGCCATTTGTCAGGAGTGGTTTGATTATGTTTATCCTAAGGGATAACAGAAGAGGCTGAACTGGATGGCCCTTGGAGGTCTCTTCCTACCTTATGATTCTATTATTATTATTATTATTATTATTATTATTATTATTATTAATACTGTTATTAACCAGCATCTGAATGGCCATCTGTCAGGAGTGCTTTGGTTGTGTTCCTCCCTTATGGCAGAAGGGGCTGGACTGGAATGCCTTTGGAGGTCTCTTTCTACCCTACTATTGTATCATTAATATTAACCAAAGTCTGAATGGCCATCTGTCAGGAGTACTTTGCTTGTGCTTCTCCCATATGGTAGAAGGGGCTGGACTAAATGGCCTTTGGAGGTCTCTTCCCTCCCTTCCCATCCCATCACTTTCTCTTCTGGGCTTGGTGTCACCGCCAAAGGGATCCCTGCTTGGCACAGAGGCAAGAAGGCGAGCATGCCACTTAAGCCCCACAGAGAGAGAGATAAAATGACTGAAATCCTTTCAGCAGCAGCAGGAGGAGGAGGAGAATGAGCCTGGCAGGTCAAGGCCACCCCTGAGCATCAACAGAGTGCCTCAGGAGAGTGGTGCATGTTGGTGGGGGAAACTTTATAGCCCTTGTGGCCTTTTAGGAAGGGGAAGGAAAAGACACCACTGTAGAATTACAGGCAGTCTTCAACCTACAAACAAGATCTGTTTTCTAGGTTTGCTCTTTGGTTGCATTTGTACCTTCCACACACCTGAATAAAACCCCACATTACCAGCTTTCACATGGAATATATGGCAGTGTAGACTCAGATAAACCAGGACCCTTCCACACAGCCCTATAACCAGAATATCTAGGCACAATAACCCACAATATCTACTTTAAACTGGGTTTTCAGAGAGCCCTTCCACACAGCCTTCTAGCCCAGAATATCAAGGCAGAAAACCCCACATTATCTGAGTGTGGACTCAGAAAACCTAGCTCAAAGCAGATACTGTGCGATTTTCTACCTTGATATTCTGGGATAAAGGGCTGTGTGGAAGAAAGGAAAGAAAGAGGTAGAGAAGGAAGAAAGCAGAGAAAGGAAGAAAAAAAGACAAGGAAGGAAAGAAAGAGGGAGGGAAGGGAGAAAGAAAGGAGGAAAAGGGGGAAGGGAAATTTGGTCACAGCAACGCGTGGCGGGTACAGCTAGTACTTTATAAATCAATTAAGTTGTGGAGGATATAAGCAACCTTCTAGCTGCTTTCTTGCTTCATGCTCAGCCCTCAGCATTCCTAAGTGATTGCAGACTACCTCCTTAGTGATCTGCTCCAAAATCTTTCCTGGTATTGATGCCAGGCTGACTGGACAGTAATTGTTTGGGTCCTCTTTTTTCCCTTGTTGAAAAAACGGATTTTTTCCTCAAAAACGGATTTGCCCTCCTCCAGTCTGCTGGGACTTCTCTTGTTCTCCAAGAATTCTTAAAGATTATTGCAAGTGGTTCTGAAATGACTTCTGCAAGCACAGCAGGTTATTTTTTAAATATATATGGTAATTTTTATGTGTGAAAAAAATACAGTTATATAGACATATACTATACATTTCCCCCTCTTTCATTTACATTCACCCTTGTGCTCCCCTTCTCCAGAGTCTTCTTTTCTTCTAAAATCCCACCAAAAGTTCAATTCTTCATTTGGAGGTAAATTCCTGTCTTCTTTTTCCAATATTTTTTTTCTAATTTTTTTTTCTTTCTTCTTGTCTCCTTTTAAGATTATAGGTTTCTTTTATGCAATCCTCTTGCCATTGACTTCATACATTATGATTGATGTCCCATATTTCTTGCCAGTTAGAGCCAATTCTCATAATTTCCTCATTGCTTTTCCCCCTAAGATGTCTCATTGCTAAGTCCTGTCTCTTCTCTTTTATCTTTGTGGATTCCTAGTTCCCTTAGTAGCCTTGTTCAGCTGAGTTGATTTTCTATCTCCTTCTGAAATGACTTCTGCAAGCTCAGCAGGTTATTTACATTCAAATGTGTTATTCAAATATTGAAAGTGGATCTGAAACAACTCCTTCAATACAAGAGTAGTTCATCTGGCCCTGGAGATTTAAATTCATTTAGAGTAGCCAGGTATTCTTGGACTATTACTTTACCTATTTTGGGTTGCATTTCTGTTATTACATCTTCAGCTTCATATTGGGTAGCTTGAATACAAATCTTCTTTTGGGGGAAGACTGAGGCAAAGAAGGTGTTGAGCAGCTCTGCCTTTTCCCTATCTCCATGTCTCTATGCTGTCAGCTTCACTAGTGGGCAAGCAACTATGAGACAACACATAAAAAATATGAATTGCTTCAATTAATCTTTGTATAAGGTGTTATCATTACATAACAATGGAAGAACTGAGACCATGGAAGGCAGGGAAAGGCCTCTTGTATCTAGTACTTCTTCTCGCATTTCTTGTATCCAATACTCCTGGCTGCCATCTCTCGTGGTTTGCATAGTGGCTAGTGAAAATCAACTTCAGATCATCTGTAAGGGCAAGAAGTTGTGTAGTATCATCTTAGGAAAATAACAGCTGAAATGAAGTGGTCATGTCACAGAGTCCCACCTCTAAAATGCTGTGCTTATTACATTGAGCTGATAAAACTGTTGTAGCACATTTGAATGTAAATAACCTGCTGAACTTGCAATGCTTCCACCAGCTAAGCTCTAGTAAAAAAAGTTTTGCATTTAAATATCCTCAGTGCAGCTCAAATTGTTAACCTTTGTGCCCCATAAATCTATTCTTTCTATTAAAAAGGGAAGGGAACTCCCATTTAGTGACTTACAGCTAACATCTGTCTAGCTCATTCAGAAAAGACAATTAATACATGAGGAGTGTAGGAGTGAAAGCTTTCCTTCCTTCGTATTACAAAAAAAAGAAAGAAAGAAAGGGTATCAAGGGAGTAATGCTTTAGACACAGGATGTCTGGAAGTAATCACTAGAAAGAAGCCATGTCACTGTCTCCCAAGGGATTATCTCCATCTTTCTAAGTATGACACAATTTTATTCTAACATGGAATTAGCTAATATGAAAGTGTTTAGTTTGTTTGATTTAAATAACATCCCTGATGAAAGTGTATTAATGTAATCTTGTTGTTGTTGTTGTTCATTCGTTCAGTCGTCTCCGACTCTTCGTGACCTCATGGACCAGCCCACGCCAGAGCTCCCTGTCGGCCGTTACCACCCCCAGCTCCTTCAAGGTCAGTCCAGTCACTTCAAGGATGCCATCCATCCATCTTGCCCTTGGTCGGCCCCTCTTCCTTTTGCCTTCCACTTTCTCCAGCATAATTGTCTTCTCTAGGCTTTCCTGTCTCCTCATGATGTGGCCAAAGTACTTCAACTTTGTCTCTAGTATCTTTCCCTCCAGTGAGCAGTCGGGCTTTATTTCCTGGAGGATGGACTGGTTGGATCTTCTCGCAGTCCAAGACACTCTCAGCACTTTCCTCCAACACCACAGCTCAAAAGCATCGATCTTCCTTCGCTCAGCCTTCCCTAAGGTCCAGCTCTCACATCCGTAGGTTACTACAGGGAATACCATGGCTTTGACTAGGCGGATCTTTGTTGCCAGTCTGATGTCTCTAATCTTTACTATTTTATCGAGACTGGACATTGCTCTCCTCCCAAGAAGTAAGCGTCTTCTGATTTCCTGGCCACAGTCTGCATCTGCAGTAATCTTCGCACCTAGAAATACAAAGTCTGTCACGGCCTCCACATTTTCTCCCTCTATTTCCCAGTTGTCAATCTTGTTGCCATAATCTTGGTTTTTTACGTTTAGCTGCAACCCGGCTTTTGCGCTTTCTTCTTTCACCTTGATTAGAAGGCTCCTCAGCTCCTCCTCGCTTTCGGCCATCAGAGCGGTGTCATCTGCATATCTGAGGTTGTTAATGTTTCTTCCAGCAATTTTCACCCCAGCCTTGCATTCATCAAGCCCCGCACATCGCATGATGTGTTCTGCATACAAGTTAAAAAGGTTGGGTGAGAGTATGCAGCCTTGCCGTACGCCTTTCCCAAGCTTGAACCACTCTGTTGTTCCATGGTCAGTTCTTACTGTTGCTACTTGGTCCTTGTACAGATTCCTCAGGAGAGAGACAAGGTGGCTTGGGATGCCCATCCCACTAAGAACTTGCCACAATTTATTATGATCCACACAGTCAAAGGCTTTAGAATAGTCAATAAAACAGAAATAGATGTTTTTCTGAAACTCCCTGCCTTTCTCCAGCGGATATTGGCAATTTGGTCTCTGGTTCCTCTGCCTTTCCTAAACCAAGCTTGTCCATCTGGCAACTCTCTCTCCATGTATTGCTGGAGTCTTCCTTGCAGGATCTTGAGCATTACCTTACTGGCATGAGAAATAAGGGCCACTGTAGGAAGTTTGAGCAGTCTTTAGCATTTCCCTTTTTTGGTATGGGGAAATAAGTGG